ACCACTTTGTCTATCACTTGTTGAGGAGGGGCAGGTCTACCTGTGGTGTCCATCGTTGATGGTGATGGCGGTGGTGGTGGTGGTGGCACTTTGGGTTGTAGCGGTTTGATGGTGTTGTTGTTGTTGTTGCGCTGTTGGCGCTGCAACTCTAGCATGCGTTGCAACAGTTGGTTGTATTCTTGTTCCTGCATGTGAAAAAGCTGCTGTGACCTCTGCATCAACGCGTCCATCTCTTCCAAATTTCGGAGACGTTTCTTTTCCAAGAGAGGGGTGTGAAGTGTCTGACGATGGCGTAGTTTGGTGGCCTGTAGACTTTGCCATGTGTCTTCAGGCACCAACACCATCTTGCGTGCGTACTTCTTGGTGGCACACCATTTATTACTTTCCTCCAAACAAAGAGGCTAGGGCAGAACCAATAAGAGAAGTTTACATTTCTTGCTTAGAGGTACTTGTTTTTTCATGAGCGTATTCAAGACTTTACCGTGTCGTTGCAAGTTTTGACGTTGAGTCGTGGTCATGGGAATATTGCCTGCATACAAGTTCACCACACATTCACAAAGGGCACGCATGAGATCGGTAGGAGCATGTTTGAGAATGGCTTTGCACATCGCTGGAGCAGCAGCACACAAATGACACAGAGCATGTTTCTGTTTCCTGAGGCACCGAGACTTCTTTCCTGCATGGAGGTGTTAGCCTGAATAAGGCACCTAATCTGCAGCTTCTCTCTTTTATCAGGCAGTGGCAGGAGGGAGTTGCAACTGTTGATCTGCCTTCTTGGACTGTCTTTGGTTCCGCATGTGCGCCAATCGTCTGAGAGCATCAGCTTGATACACTTTCATGACATTTTCATGAGCCTTTTCTTTTGGCATAGAAGTCATCGTTGTTGTTGTTGTAGGTCGGTGGCGCCTGGTGTTACCCTGTATGAGGAGTGGTGCTTGAAGATAATGTTGCCATTGCAACAGAATGCATGTCAAGACCCCTGCAAGTGTTCCACTACCACTGCATTGCATCAGGTAGCCTAGACGTTCATCCATAGGCAGACGTGGATTGACAATTTTAGTCAGGGTATCATTATGTCTCTGCAACCACGTCTTACGTTGAACTTTCAATGGGATGTGTCCTGCTCTCAGGTTCCGCACGACCATTGCCAACCACTGCAAAAGCCGATTTCTTCCTTTGATGGCAAGGGTTGTCGCATCCCTTGTCGGAAAAGTAGACGGTCTATTGGGGACTTCTGCTGTTGCAGACGTTGAAAGCGTTGAGGATCGAGTGGTGGCGAGGGTGGCGAGGGTGGCGTGGGTGCTGATGAGGAAGGGCATTGTTGTTCCTGACGATGCTTGTCCAAGGGTACCACCGAAGAGTAAGACGGGCCTGGCAGGGACTTCTGCTGCTGCTGCTGCTGCTGCTGCTGACGATGCATGTTCACAGGTACCATTGAAGAGGGAGACGAACCTGGTGGTGAACGAGTCTTGTGAAATGCAGAGGTCACAAGTCCCTGTAGCGATGAGGGGGAGACCATACTGTCACAGACATCATTCATCATCTCTTTGTCTTTGTTCTTTCCCTTTGTAGGATGAACCTGTTTCCGTCTTTGCCCTATGATGGACGTAGGTCAACTGAAGGAAGGTCAGGGGGTTCACCTGTTTTTAGGAAAGTCTCTACATCTCATAGGTTCGGCACATACATGAGGGGCGTCTCGGATCTCGAAAACAGGCGGGCGCGTACGTGATGGTCTTGCAACGTGGTGGGTTTCAAATCCAAGAACAGGTAAGTGTAAGGCTCTCGGGTGGCATCTTCATAGTCTTCACGCAGAAAAGGAACTATTCCTGGAAACACCTGGCGAGCCAGATTGTCGATCTGCGATGCATCTCTCGGATTTTTAAAGAGGACCGTGTAGTGAGCATTCAGACTGATGGTGCGATGTTGCGGCGATTGAGGAAACAAGTTCTGAGTGAGATACAGCACGGATGTACTTCGGTGATGACTTTTCTTGGTGAACCATCGCGGCACTTCCGTTTCTTCTTCTTTTGTATTGTCCCCCAGCAAATCATCAATGACCAGCCAACGCGGGGCCACCCCTTTTTCGGGCAAGGCACGATCCGCTTCTTTCATGCTGTACACAAACTCAAGAGCAACCCCTAAGCGCCTGCCATCTCTTCCAGCTCATGTTGAAGCAGTTGCCATTTGCTGTACACCCACACAAGGCGATGGGGTGGTGTATCCAACACCTTGGGGCAATTCATCTGCTCCATACATGATTTCACAAAGGAACTTTTTCCTGATCCCGCGGGTCCCGCAATGAACATCCTAAAAGGATGGCGTAGGGTCAAAGGGGAGGTCATGACCTCTTCATCATCATCCTCACCACGTGACGCCATCCTGTGCTCGGGCCGACTGACACCAGGCAACTGATCCTTTCAAGCATGACCTTTCTCTTTTATCTTGTTTTCCTATCTCTCCCATGACCCATACAATTTCCTATGGAAAAGAAACACAATGGTCTGTCCGGTTTGGAAAACCGCGGCTCAGACCAGGTGCTGGAATGGACCCATCACCGCCATACGGTTCGACCAATCAGGAAGCAGGGTTTCAGTGCCTCCCCTATAAAAAGAGCGAAGCCACGCACACCGTCACAGTCCGAGCACTGAATGAGAGATTATCCATGTCGTCTCGATGCAGCTGTCTGAAGTGTCAGACCAACAGTCAACAATGTCCGTGGATGAGTAAAGTCTATTCCTGGACAATAGTGGCCTACCCACCGGATGAATCGGAGACGATCTTATCGCAGAGCCCACACTGGTTTAAGAACAAATCTGAGGCTATTGCAGCATTACAACGAACTATTCAACGCGGAATTGACGTCCCCGACTATTGGGGTGGTCCGTATCATTATCTAGTATCGAGATCAAGGAAAGTAATGTAAAACAGTAACAAGCCTCGTTCAGCTTGTTTCCAGTTTGTTTTGTCTTATGACCCCCTCCTCCCCGTAAAACGGCGTCCTCTTGGATGTGCGCACGCCTCCCGGAAACGGACATGCCGCCATCTTGGATGCGCGCGCCACCGGAAAAGGATGTGCCGCCATCTTGCGCATGCGCAGACCCATTACTCGTCCTGTAGTACCGCTACCAACTACTCACACAACTTCATTACCACCATATACCTCACTACACACCACAACTCACAAACACACACAGATTCACAATAACTTTCAAGAATATATAATGGTTGGCTTCGTTGTCATCTCTCTCTTTCAGTATCGAAATGGTCACTCAGGTAATGACTCAAAACATTTTTCAGTTTGCATACATTGCCACAGCCATAGTACACTAGTATGTGTATCGGTGTCAAATTTGTAAATATTGTGTCATTTCATTGAAGTTTACAAGTAAAATAACATTAGCCATTGGCTCAATATCCTAATTGTAAGAGAACATGGGTGGCCAGTCGTCTATGCTTCCCTTGGACAGGCAAGAAACCTATGATCTGATCGTGGGTTCGAATCCTGGATCGCCCCGATTATCTTTCTAGATTTGTCAGCATCTACCCATGCTCTTGGGTTCGCCAAAAGTGATAAGCATCTAAGACCTGTATAGTTTGGGCTTTTCCCCCACATTAAGCTGACATGGTGTGATATTACTAGAACGAGCAAACAGCGTTACAACTATCCCCAGACATAGGGCACATCAGAATTTTGTTTGTTCATATGGTAGTGAATAGGCACATGGACCACATTATGTCATCAAGAAAATTGATTAAATGTGAAATTATTACACACAAAAGGCCCCTTCTCTGGAAATAATAACTGATTAAGTATCTTTAGAAGTTTCTGAGAAAACATGTCTCCATTGCAGATATATTCATATACTGAACCGCAAAAGAAACATCACCCCAAGTAACATTCCATGAGAAGTTGTCATTTAAATATCTGGGCATTTTTTGTCAAACTTTCTAAAATTTAACATTACCGTGTCCAGGAAAATGATATTTGATGATAAAAAAACCAATCGCCCAAACGCATCACGGCAACGGCCGTGGTAACCTCATGCACGTGAGTTCCATGCAAATTGAAATGCACATGGGTTCCCCAATTTCAGCATTGTTTTACTATGGAGAAGAGTCCTCTCCTCAGACCAGAGCCGTTTATTTGTAACAGCAGATGGCAGAGAGAGAGAGAGAGTCTGGCGATGCCGTGGGAACATTATTCGGATATGCTTGTGTTGTTTAGAGAGACTCGTGGGGTGGTCCGAGCATCATGGTGTGGGGCGGAATTGGTCTTGTACAGAGGGTCGGACCTATAGTCTTCAAGAACATCGGTCCAGGGAGAGGCAATGGTGTCACAGCAGCTCGAGCATTGATCAAGTCTTGAAACCACATGTTATGCCTCATTTGGCACGTCGCCGAAACCACGAGTTTCAGCATGATAACTCCCGCGCCCACACTGCGAGAGCAACAAGAGACTTCCTCCAGCAGAATGGCATCAGAACCATGCAGTGGCCTGCCTGCAGTCCCGATTTAAATCCCACTGAGCACCTGTGGGACGAGATTCAACGACGGCTGAATGACGTCCGACCAAGGCCGACAACTGCAGCTGAACTGCGTCAGGCGTTCCTCAGAGTGTGAGCTTAAGTGCCTATGGCCTTCACCAACCGCCACATCCATTCCATGTATCGACGTTGCATGGCAGTCATTAATGCACATGGCGGACACACGAGATACTGACTTGTGATGCCATTTTCTCAGCGACTGGTGTTGCGTTTCACTTTAAGAACATTTGACACTTTAATTTCAACCTTGATGATCAGTTTTGCCAACTTTCATCTATTTAATATGTGTCAAAGTATGTTAACAGTGTTTGGGAAAATAAGTTTTTTCATATATATATCCATGGTGACCTTTCTTTTGCGGTTCTCTATCTAATAATATTCAATGTTGCCTTAAGCCCACTCACTCCTAATTTTAAGTTTACATAAAAGGGGATTTGTGTCATTTGAAAATTGCAGATACATACATGGCAAATGCCTACGTGGAAGTTATGGACAAAGATATCAGCCTCTGCTCTGATGTCAAGGTGGAGTGGTGTGGAAATGTGTCCAGCACCGTTGCCAGTGGGGAGAAGTTCAACTTCACCTGCAATGCCACATTCCCCATCCGCTTCGTACGTGTCACAAGACGAACTACAGGAAATAATTATTTAGGTATCGGCCAAGTTGATGTTCAAGGTGTCGGGGCTACAAAGCGATACCGTGAGTATGCTGCTTGTAGATTGAGAGCGTAGCCCTGTTGCCTTCACAATTTGCACACATTTACAACACACTACGTGACCAGAATTCACAATGCTAAGCACAGCATTCTGAGAGTGGCATTGTTTTGCAATGCTAAAGCATTCTGATCTAACAGCTCCAACCTGGTTCTTCCTTGATTCTCAAGTGATCTCAGTTTTATACTCAATGTAAACCTACGTTTCCCTGGAGAATGTTCAATATCCTATCCTACATTCTTGATCTACACACATGCTTCAATTTTCAAAAGCACGACTTCACTGAGAGCAACAATCAACCACCGAGCTTGTTGCTAACCATTGGCTCTTGTCCACCAGTTCAGTTTGTAATCATGAATGTCATTTCATTTAATGATGTCAATTGAAACCACTTTTATCCAATCTCATTTAAAACAGATCTTAGTTTTCGCTACCGCTGAAGACATCCCATTACGGGTGACGTCAGAACGACCTTTCGCGAATTTTGAAATGGCCGACAATAAATCGACATTAGCCAGTCAGAAGGCAGCTTTCTCGAGCTTTACGATACTTTTATCAAACTGGGGACTAAGCTTCAAAACTTATTTTGACGTATTCTCGATTAAAAAAAATTAAAACTGATAAGAAGAATATTCTGGAATGGCTTATAGATGGCCTAGATCGTATGGATATAATCATAAAACCTTTAACTGTGGTTCGGAATACCCCATGTTAAATATTTCGTGGTTGCATGATTAGAAAACACATTCCGACTGTCACTTTCATGATCTGGTAAGCGACGCTCTGATTGGTTGGATGAAACGTTGTTCTGACGTGACGGGATGTCCTCGGATCTTTGTTTAGCGACAGCGAGAACTACGTTCTGATTTTAATGAGATTGCCGTTTTATCAGACTTATCTACAAACTTAGTTTTGGTCGCATCAGGCTTTCATAACTACACTCAAGCAGCCAATCGTGATGTGAACCATGTGCAATAATTATTATTCAGTCAAAGCAAGACATTTATAAATCAAGGAAAATAATTATATACGATGAAGTAACCATACAACACTGGTTCTACCCCCTTTGTACAGCACAAACGGTAATATTTCAAATCAGAATGATAATAAATGCAGATAGGTGTTTATACGCTGAGCACAATTTCTAACCCTCACCTCCATCTCCTCGCTAGGTTCCTACTACACGCCCACAACAAACAGGAAGGTGTCCATCCCATCCTTGACTACATCAGCCGTAACAGCCGGGCAATGTGGCATCCTTTGTCACCAAAACCATTCATGTATCGACTTCAGCTACAGCAAAACTGCATCGACTGACGCTAACTGTCTGCTATCCAACAAGGAAGTGCCTCAGAATTCTGTGGCAAACAATGCCTGGACCATGTACACCCTGAACAACTGCCTGTAAACACCTGTTATAAGGTTAAAAATGCAACTCAAAAACATTAGAAAATGGTTACCGTTATAGCTGCAATGAGGAGTTGCATTAGATATAGTTTGTGACAGAAATTTTAGTTTGAAAGGAATCAATAGATAACAGACATTTCACATTTATCACAAGTGTATTTTGGACATTTCATAATTATCATTGGATTGGTTCCTGGTTATCGTCCATGAGTCACAAAATCAATAGAGAGATGAGCAATCTGGCACGTAGGCTTCTGTATTTTTCCGATTACGACACACATGAGTTCATGGTCAGATCTAACTTTTAACGAATCAAAATGAGGTATTGTGACATGTGACAAAGACAGGCCAGGCCCGATCACTATAAAATGACACCTTCAACATTAGGAGAGGAGAGCGCGGTTTGCAATCGATCGAGTCGAATCCCGATCGTTCTAAGTTTCCCTAGTTAGTGACGAGTCTGGCCGGCTTGATCCTTTCCTGTATTTATAGATGGGCTGAGAGTAAGTAAAACTATGTGAGTATAAAACTGGTGTTGCATTTCTTTATTATGCGTGTGTGAATGCTGATAGAGACAACCTGGAGTAAGTGTCGTTGGACCAATCACTCCTGGACGGAGCCGAGCCGCGGCGGATAAGTCGAGTGGCAATGTTCTGGCGTAATTGACCACGATGACCAGGAACGGCAATACATTTAGTAACTGTATTAGGGTCGCATTGGACGCATGAAAGCATTTACGACACACCCAAGACACTGGACAACTGCCTAACTCCCAACTCAAACACCCAACTCAAACTGGAACTCTGGATGGAAACTTGGAATCTGACTAGAAGTGGACTACAGCTATGAAACCAAAACACTTTTACTATTCATACTGTTATCCAGAGAACTTAAATGTACATTCGCACGAATCAGAACATTTGTAGTATGATTGCTGGAGCTGAAATATATTTTCGAATTCTGTTCGTTTTAACATTGACATGACATTGAGCCGGACAACTATCAATTGCAGGGAACCTGCGCTTTCGCCGCAACCGGGAGTTACCTTGTTATTGGTAACTCGACATTCAATTTGCAGCATTAAAATGCTTTCGTATGGCGGATCACTATCACTATTTCGCTATCCGTCATTCAACGTACGACATAAATGTACAATGTTATGGCGAATGACGAGCCTTTCGTCATTCGCCGTTCGAATGTATACTGAGCAACAAAAGTTCCTGTGACATTGAATAAGATTTAATGCAAAGTTATGTTTTTTACCAAATCTGAACAATTTCTGAAACAAGTGTTCAAATGGTTAATTTGCCATACTGACTACAGAAAATGCGTTAAATCATAAAAAAAACCATGAACATGCCAAAATATCAATTTACAAATCAATAGAGTGTTTGTCCACCTCTGGTTGCAATGCAAGCAACACATCTTCGTCTCATGGAATGGACCAGGCGACGCAAAAAGTCCTGTGTCCATATCTGCTGGAGAATGTTTCGAAGTTCCTAGAGTGTCTGTGGAACACGTGTTTGACATCGAAGGCGCCGATCCATCTCATCCCACATGTGCTCGATTGGTGAAAGATCAGGGTAGCGAGCCGGACAGGGGATAACATTCACGTTGTTTTGTTCAAGAGAATCCTGAACGAGTCGAGCAATATGAGGCTGGGTGTTTATCATGTTGAAAGGTAATGCCTGTTGAAAGGTAATGCAAAAGCGGTAGAGCAACAGAGCCGATGATCACATCGCGGTAGCGCCATCCATTGAGATTTCCCTCTACCACTATCAAACGGGTCCTCTGTCTTTCTGTAACCCCATCCCATACCATAACGCTGCCGCCCCCGAACCGATTTCCTTCCATGATACAATGATTGATGTAACGTTCACCTCGACGCCGATACACTCGAATCCGTCCATCGCTGTGGCTGAGGTGAAAACGAGACTCGTCAGTGAATAGAACCTGTCCCCACTGCATGGCCGTCCAGTGAAGACGCTGTCTGCACCACTGCAGACGTGCTTGACGGTGGTTTCCTGTCTAAATTGGACGTCTCGCGGGTGTTCTGGCGACAATCCCTAGACACCTGAAGCGACGACGTACGGTTTGTGAAGGCCAGGGATGCTTCTTGCAGTCACTGTTGCTGGCTGGAATCGTTTTTGTAGGTGTGTTGTTCGAATCCAGTTGTCTTGTCGATTATTAGTTACGCGTGGCCTGCCACTCCGAGGATGGTCTCTGACTGCATTCGTCTGTTGCCAACGTTGCCATAAACACCAAATAGTGTTTCTGTGGACGTTAAATTGTCTTGCAACATCACGTTGACTCGACCCTGCTTCTAGCATACCAATGGCTCGCAGAGGCTCAATTTCGGACAGGCGTGGCAATTCGTAATGCGTAATTTTGTTAATTTTCTGAGTGGTTGTTGTCAGCACGATGCTGAACGATGCATATGGAATCCCGTTAACGCACACGTTTTTATACCCATTATTGGGTAGTGATATGCAAGGGGCTTGCATAAAAGTGAACTTTTGCATGGAATGCATGCCTTTCTGTAGCAGTTGCTTTTTTGTGACTTGATTCCATACATGTACTTCAATATTGAAAACCAAACTTTTAATTGTTTGAAAAATACACTAAAATATTGGTGTCACAGGAACTTTTGTTGTTGAGTATATATTAAAGTTGTGATTTGAATGACGAAACAAGGAAACATTTCGTCATTCGAATGGATGATAATGTATGTTGAATGACGAAAAAAAAGGTTTTTCGTCAGTCTAATGACGAATGATGAATAACGATTAACATGCTAACTTCTTGCTGCCCACAGTCACTGTATAATTGTACAGAACTGAAATGGGAGAACATCACTTCCAAAAGAAAATCACACCCTGAAGAATATATACAGTAAACTAACGAACTCAAAGGGATCAATATCCTTTGTTCGTTATAACCGGAGTTCGTTATAAGCGTTCACATAAAGCATGCCGCAAATGACCGGGACCAAACGGTATTTAAACTTCTCAATACTTTCTGTTTCAACTATATATCCATTTAAAGTACGAGCGACGTTTAACAAGCAGGACTCTGTCCCTGAACCGCGTGTTAATATTTCAAAAACAACTACCCGAGAGACGGTTACCACAGCACTTAGCACTTTTTTCATAACGGCCCTCTGAGACAACAGAGTTGGTTGGTTGGCTGGTTTTTTAACGCCGCACTTAGCAATATTCCAACTGTATGACGACGGTCTGTAAATAATCGAGTCCAGACCAGACAGTCCAGTGATTAATACCATGAGCATCGATCGATGCAATTGGGATCGATGACATGTATCATGTAAGTCAGCGAGCCTGACCACCACCATGGGTTGCTGAAGATTTACTCTACTCCGGATCTTCACGATTCTAAGACAACAGAGACCCTATTGTGTCACGACTACAGTTCAACCAATGAGAGGCTAGCTACTATCACAAACATTCACCTGTAGGCATTCCGATGGGATCAAGGGACAGAAAGCCATCCCATATATACATGCTGGCCGAAAGACCAAAAATACAGTCTGGTTAATATATGGGAGATTGCTGAGAGTGCTGTTGTCTGCTGTTGCATGCACCATAACGGTATGGATTGTTGCTCATGTTATCAACCTTTGGTTTGTCGGACTTTGCTTGCATGGATTATCTACATACCACATGATGTAGCTGGCACGTATTTGGTCGGGTTTGGTTGGTTGGGTTGGTTTCTCTGCCGCTTAAAGATGCTATTGCTCTACGAAAGGTGCATTCATTTGCTGTGTGAAGCGGCAGAAACATATCTGAAAAATAGCGGTTTATAGAAAGTTTTGACACTGACCCAAAGTATGAAGTGTTTATACAAACCATTTCGTTCCTTCTGTTTTTAATTTACTCCACCTAGGTCTCATTTCATGGCATGTTAATACAACCATTCACCTGTATATCGTTTTCTACAAAGTTTGGGTCTCGAACTTACAACCTCTGTGTTGCATCAGACTTTGGGTGAGTATCAAAACTGGGTTTCTGTATATATACCGCTATGTTTCCAGACAGTGAGAGAAAGAATACCGAAAAGGCCATTACAGAGAGGACAGGCATTCCACTATACCAACTGTTTTCCATGTTTTGAAAAATATCGAGAGTGGATATGAAATTGAGCCCAAGACGAGGATGACTTTGCGTGACATAGGGCGACTTGGTATATTGGCGTCTATAACAGTTCTTGTTTCTAAAGAAGCAAAATAAGAATTTGCATGCAGTGGCTTGGTAGAAATCATGAGGAATTCTATCACCACTCCCAATACATGAACAACAAGAACGACGTTTGACCTGTTATTTTGAGCATAGAATTGTCAAATGGGACAATGTTATTTTCTCATATGTGCCCAGGGCTAAGGACAGAGTTGGGGGAAACATACCCTAACACAACTAATCCTAGTTATCGTAATGGGCTCCCAAAGGCTAAGGATAGAGTTGGGTGACATACCCTACCAGACCTAACCTTAGTTTTCGTAATGGGCTCCGAAGGACTAAGGATAGAGTTTGGTGACATACCATACCAGACCCTTTCGTAATGGGCCCTCAAGGGCTAAGGATAGAGTTGGGTGACATATCCTACCAGGCCCTTTCGTAATGGGCCCTCAAGGGCTAAGGATAGAGTAAGAGTCACAGGTCCTACCAGAACTAACCTAGTTGTCGTACTGGGCTCCCTAAGGCTGAGAATAGATTTGGGGTCACCTATCCTACCAGACCTAACCTTAGTTATCGTAATGGGCTCCCAAAGGCTAAGCATAGAGTTGGGTGACATACCCTACCAGACCTAACCTTAGTTTTCGTAATGGGCTCCGAAGGACTAAGGATAGAGTTGGGTGACATACCATACCAGACCCTTTCGTAATGGGCCCTCAAGGGCTAAGGATAGAGTTGGGTGACATATCCTACCAGGCCCTTTCGTAATGGGCCCTCAAGGGCTAAGGATAGAGTTAGAGTCACAGGTCCTACCAGAACTAACCTAGTTGTCGTACTGGGCTCCCTAAGGCTGAGGATAGATTTGGGGTCACCTATCCTACCAGACCTAACCTTAGTTATCGTAATGGGTTCCCAAAGGCTAAGGATAGAGTTGGGTGACATACCCTACCAGACCTAACCTTAGTTTTCGTAATGGGCTCCGAAGGACTAAGGATAGAGTTGGGTGACATACCCTACCAGACCTAACCGTAGTTATCGTGAAGGGTTGGTTTGCTTGTTGTTAAAGCCGAACTCAGCAATATTCCAGCTATATGACGACGGTCTGTAAATAATCGAGTCTGGACCAGACAATCCAGTGATTGATATCATGAGCATTGGTCCACGCAATTGGGATCAATGACATGCATCAACCAAGTCAGCGAGCCTGACCACCCGATCCCGGTAGTCGCCTTTTACGACAAGCACTATCGTGAAGGGTACCCAATGGCTAAGATAGAGCTGGTGGGTAACATACCCCGCACAACTATCCTTAATTATACTACGATCTTAAAAGTACAAAATGACCAATAACACAGCTTAGAATCATTTTAATGGAATGATTGGCAGAACACAATGATTAGAAGAAATGAAGCTATTATTGAAACAGGAATGACTGAATCATGTTATTTTAGTTGCTACATATATGTATGTACTATATATATTTGAAACAAAACTAATCATGTAGGCTGCATGATCGTATAACATCGGCCATTTGTGTAACGATCACTGAAACAACATGCATTTGCCCAAGACAACAAATATGACAGTTTACATGTCAATGTATGGCATTTATGATACATATACCCATTCTCAGACTACTAAGGTTCGTTATAAGACATCAACAGTGGTAATCGTATCTTGGTGGCTGTAAATAACAATGAGTTGTCGCGACACTCAATTTCGACAAATGTATGTCAACAATACTTAATGCAATTTTGGTTAATTTTTTCAAGAATATTACAATACATAAGCCAGCTGCTATACAAAGAATACTTATATATGAAACTGGTGTGATTTTAATTCCTATTTCAGGACCCATCGGCATAATATTCTACCCAGAAGGCTGGACCTGTCTCTATATCATTCTACCAAGAAGGCGGGACTTGTCTTTATATCATTCTACCCAGAAGGCGGGACTTGTCCCTAAGTCATTCTACCCAGAAGGTCGGACCAGTCGGTATATCATTCTACCCAGAAGGCGGGACCTGTCGGTATATCATTCTACCCAGAAGTTGGGAACGGTCGGTAAATTATTCTACCCAGAAGGCGGGACCTGTCGGTATTTCATTCTACCCATAAGGCAGGACCTGTCGGTTCAGTTATGTGTTTCTACCCCAATAGGTTATGTTTGCACAGTTCTGTATTTGAAAGGTAAGGTGAAATAGGGTTTAACGTCGCGTCCAAGATTATTGCACTTTTAAAGCGACGTGCATGCACGTGTATGTGTGTGGCTGCTTATAGTAGTCTGATGCCGATTTATAGTGCTTGCCCACTGAGATACCATGGCGCAGTTTAACATGAATACCACACTCAGACACAGTATACTGATTCGAGGCGACCAGTTTAGCCGCTTAATGCCGAGCGCCAGACAGGGTCTTTTGATATGACGCGGGAGGGGTTCGAACCTCGTACTTTCCGCTCTCCGGGCAGACGCTCTACCACTAGACCACGGAGGCGGTGACTGTATTTTAGACATATTCGAAGGTGTTATCAGTGTTTGTTGGCACTACTCGGCGGTTGAGAAGTTGAGGACCACCGATTCGTTCATATCACTGCAGTTAATCTGTCAAGACTTTATGTAGTAGTAATATGAAAGAAACGGGAGGTCACTAACAGTGAGTTTACTTGCTTGTTCTTTATACATCAATCTAAGCCTATGCAACAAGTAACATTTGAGTCATAGGGACAGACATGTTGTGTTAACCAGTGACGTCATATGGCTGTATGGTAAGGAAACTGGGAGTCCAAATTAACGCCCAGTCCAACCAGCCATCGTCCAGTGAATGGTGTATCAAATTAGAAAAACAGTGCCATGTATATCCGGGGGTCAGCTAAAACTTGTTGTGGGGCAAGCTGTCCTCAGAAACCAAAGCCTGGAGCTCCTGTGACCTATCGTCCTTGCAGTACTTCCACAAGAGGATGGTGACGCCTGACGCCATCAGGGCGGGGATGAAGGCGAACACTATCACGTACATCCACACTCGACTCTTGCACACAGCCCACATGTCGATGCTGTCATGCGTGCCATTGCCTCCATTGTGGTACACCACGTTCATTTGAGGGTTAAGTGACATGTCAAATGAACATGGTTTGCCGTTAGGATGATAGGAGCAGTTGGATGTGACGGAACTGACGTCATATAGCGTCCGGATTATGTACACATAGCTGTTCACGGGCAAGAAGTAGCGTGAGGTGGAGTAATACAACAGGTAGTAATCGTCACTTTGTGAAACGTTCAACGTATAGGTGAAGTCTGGCGAGGTGGGGTGAGAGACGAGATAGCATCCATTACATTCTCCTCTGCTGTCTATCCACGCCTGAAGATTGGAGTTTCCTTTTATGATGAATACTGATATATCAGCATCCCCGGATGAAACCACGACGGCTTTAGAACCTTTCAGGAAATAGAACCCCCAGTATTCGTATGTATCTCCTGTTAAAAACATAGAATATGATGTATTGAACTTCTCGAACTTGTTGGGGTCCACCACCGGTTCTCCATCAAAACTGTAGGCTTCAAAAGGATCGCTGGAGTTGAGAGTGAGGCTCTGACAGAAGGCGTTGTTGACGCCGTGCTCTACTTTGCGCATGTCCGTTGGCGCGGCCTGGAACTTGTTTGTGCCGAAGACTCTGAGACTGATGAGAAGTCCGGCAGTGAGGACGGCAGTGGCTACATACAGCCATATAAGGGCGATCCGGAGGTAGCGGGACATCTTCCTGATGCAGAGGAGGATACTGGCGATGTTGATGATGAAGCAGCAGCATGCCACACAGCCGTCGCCGCCTCCCTCTGAGTGGTGATGAACGTGTACTGACCCTACCCCACCCCCTCCTCCTCCACTGAACCCCCCTCCACCCCCACTGGAGAAACCGCCGCCGCCGTGGGTCATCCTGGAAAACATGTGGTAGACATTAAACATATAATACTATATATAGATATCTGGGTTTTCCCGAGAGCCCAAATGGACTGGAAAGTTCAAGTGCGCTTGATAATGTTTAGCTTTTGCCAACGGAATTTCGAATGTTATGAAAATATTCACAACATCAACAGTTCTGTTCGTAATGCAAACTAAATTACTTTCTATTTCTATTTTATTTTATGTTTCATTTTCTTCTTATATTGTGGAATTATAACAACATCCATCACATGAACATGGCTGAAATGTGTGAAAAGGATTATTTGTATCATTTCTGGAGAAAATGTAATAATGAGCAAGTCCGTGGCCAAAGATGAAATGTTAAACATATGCGGCACTGTGTATCTTCATCTTTGAGAAAATATCCGATCAAACTTGCCCATGTTCTGATATTAGAAACAAAGTTCATCCAAAAGTTCCAAATAATCCGTTTGACATTATGACCATTTAAATGCGCTTAACCAATTTGCCTTCATTCGTTATTATTATTATTATTATTATTATTATTTTTTTATATTTTTTTAAATTATTATTTAATGTACAGATCAAACTAAAAAATGCAGCAAAGAGGGTTTGTTTGGTCCTTGTCCCCTCCACAAGCAGCCCAGACAGCAGGGAGTCAGATAACTTGGTACTTGGGATGCAAGCGTGACGTTTCGAAAGCGAGGTCCGCATATTTGCCATTTTTTTCCTCAATCTTGTCAATCACATTAGTGTCAAGGGGACAGAAGATTCAATGATATAAATGATTTCATTGGATGTATCAAAACGGACAAGATCAGGTTTGTTGGCCTGGATATGTCTGAGGCTGAAAATGGGCCTATTCCAATGAATTTTGTATTCATCATTTTCCATGACGCCCTCTACATATTCCGGGTCGTACCACGGGTGGACCTCTGTGTCAAAACCACAAGCATGGCGAATACGGTAATACAATGATCGAGCTACATCATCATGTGGTTTAAGATACTGTGTTTGTGCCAAAGCTGGGCATCCACTGACAATGTGTCTGACAGTCTCATTAAATTCATTACATAATCTAAATTTCATATTCACATTTTGATGCAAAATCACACATTGACGGTTTCGAGTGGGAAGTGACTGGTCCTGAGCAATAAACTGTTTCACTTTTCAGGCCAGACGACTTCATCCAAGTGAAGGACTCTGCAGGATTGCTGATCTTCTCAACACACTGCACATAAACTCGATGCAGTGGTCGTTCAGATAGCCTCTCCTTGAAAAACTGAGTCTGGGCCGACTTGATATTGCACTTCGCTCAGTTGACACTCATTTCTTCACCGTCCAGCATTACTGAACCATCAACAACATCAACACCGACATTGAGATTATGTCACACATCCTTGGCTCATTTTAGAAATGCCTTGTTTTCATCATGAGCCTTGACATGCTTCAGAAGAGGATCATCAGACAAATAAATGTGTGCAAAAGTGCACAAAACAATTCTATCATGAAGAGACCCAACGTTAATCAAACCACGTCTTCCCATAATGATTTGTAAATATAAGCGATTGAGGGAAGGGTAAGGGTGGTGGGATCTATTCTCTGACATGATTCTTCGTGTTAGGGTGTCAATACCCTGAATTTCTTGTTTCGTCCAATCAACAACACCAAAAGAATATGAAAGGACGGGTACAGCATAAGTATGTATGTATGTATTATTATTATTATTATTATGATTATTATGATTATTATTATTATTTATGAGTGTTTGCTGTTTAACGCCGCACTCGGCAATATTCAAGCTGTATGACGGCGATTGCACAATGATCGAGTCTGCACCAGCAATCCAGCCATGGACGCTATGCACATCGACTTACGCAATTGTGACACGATGACATGCCTCAACCAGGTCAGCGAGCCTGACCATTTCATCCAGCTGGTCGCCTCTTACGACAAGCATCAGTTGCTGAAGACCAATTCTTATCATCAGCTCACAACGACCTGTAAGCATTCGAGTCTGGGACAGGCAGTGTTACAATGCTGTTCAGGTCATCGGAACACAATCACATTTGGTCAGATACTGTACCTACCCACTCACAACGCCCCGGACACAATCGAGTCTGGGACAGACAGTGTTACAATGCCGTTCAGGTCATCGGGACACAATCACACAGGGTCAGATACTGTGCATACCCGCTCACAACGCCCCGGACACAATCGTGTCTGGGACAGGCAGTGTTACAATGTCGTTCAGGTCATCGGGACACAATCACACTTGGTCAGATACTGTACATACCCGCTCACAACGCCCCGGACACAATCGTGTCTGGGACAGACAGTGTTACAATGTCGTTCAGGTCATCGGGACACAATCACACAGGATCAGATACTGTACCTACTCGCTCACAACGCCCCGGACACAATCGAGTCTGGGACAGACAGTGTTACAATGCCGTTCAGGTCATCGGGACACAATAACATTTGGTCAGATACTGTACCTACCCGCTCACAACGCCCCGGACACATTCGAGTCTGGGACAGGCAGTGTTACAATGCCGTTCAGGTCATCGGGACACAATCACATTTGGTTAGATACTGTATCTACCCGCTCACAACGCCCCGGACACAATCGTGTCTGTGACAGGCAGTGTTACAATGCCGTTCAGGTCATCGGGACACAATCACACTTGGTCAGATACTGTACACACCCGCTCACAACGCCCCGGACACAATCGAGTCTGGGACAGACAGTGTTACAATGTCGTTCAGGTCATCGGGACACAATCACACTAGGTACCTACCCGCTCACAACGCCCTGTAAACAATCGAGTCTGGGACAGGCAGTGTTAGTGCAAGATTAGTCCCAGCAAATGGAAATCAAATCAGCTGAAACTCACTTCAAGTTGTTTTTCTATATTGTAATTCTATATTAGCCTAGCCGTTCCTAATTACACAAGAAAGGAGAACTGGCACCTACCTAGACTAAAATCTAGTCTCTGAAATGAACATATCGTACATAAAAAAACAGTTGTTCAGTTATCTTAATAAAAATATAATAAAAAGGAGCCCAGTGACTCACTTCATTTTCAGATACTGCAGTGATCTAGACTTGCCAAACATTATAGACTTGCATGGGCTGTATTTGATATATATTTGTATCAGGGTCTGTAAGACAGACTAGCACCTACCTTTCAAACCAAAATGTGAACACATGAAATAAAATGTTCAGCGGTACAATATGTGTACGTGACGGGGGCGTATTTACTCGTTGCAGTGGAACGTGAGCGGTGAGTATATGTATCCCATGACCTGATATCACCCACTGATAGTTGTTTGTCACGTGACGGAATGCATATGAAATGTCTCTTTGGGTTTAACCAGTTAGAGATGTGACCTCATTACCCGTGAATATGAACATTGATACTAAGTAGGAAATCTACACATTGCGTGCTGAAAGTGGCTCCGGGCAATGTTGGGGTGTTAGCCAATTTAAGGAGTGGATGATAATGATATAGACTGGGTTTATTATCATGAAAAGAAATATTAGTATGATGATAACAGTGGCAATGTTTAAATGTTAACGATAATGATCACTGCGTAAATAGGGTTGGCAGGCTGTTTAAGCAATATTCCCGCCATATATTGACTAGGACACTAGGAATGGATTTCACACTTTGTAGCCATATGTGGAATCGAACCTGGTCTAAAGCATGGCGACCTTACACTTTAACCACTGGGCTACATAACCGCCCCTGTGATAATAATACAATCGCACAGGATCATAATAACGGCCATCACGTATACATCCATAAAACAACGCAGGCACTAATTGTGTACAGACTTGCCGTAAAAGGCGAGTATTGCTTGTCATTAGAGGCGACTAGAGGGAGAGGGTGGTCAGGCTCGCTGACTTGGTTGATGCATGTCATCGTATCCCAATTGCGTGAATCGATGCTCATGATGGCAATCACTGGATTGTCTGGTCCAGACTCGATTAGTTACAGAGCACCGTAATATACCTGGAATATCCTGAGTGCGGCGTTAAACAAAAAACAAACAAACAAACAAACAAAACTAGTTGTGTAATGGATGTTGACAGCTTGGCTACTGTGCTATGATTCATGTCTGTTTGGAATGTCACATACAGTGTGTCGCAACATTATCACATGTTTACCAAATCCACGTGTTTTGACATCTCCATTGCTTGTGATAATAAGATGAACAATAAAAAATACCGAATTATAATATATGCATGATTTAAAATTACATATACGATTACATGTATATACAAGATAGCGTCAGACTGTTCATGAGAAATACAATATCTATTTTATACCGACAGTGATGCATATTATGAAACTGATATGAATTCGATTATACAACAAAGACTCAATACAGTCTATGTTAAGATATCACATGTCTGTCGAGCACAAAGTGTGACGCGTACACCACTTATCTTCACAAGGAGGTCTATCATCGCGTTCCATATACCACCTGTTGTTGTAGCGAATAAAATTTAAGGCAACATTTCTGTACACAGTCATTTATTCAACAACCGCAGCTGTTAAGCACATTTTTCGAACCATGTCACAATCCCGACTGACCACAGACAGGCAGAAAAATGTCACAAATTTCACATTACTCCAAATCATCATTCAAACAGTTTGAGCGACCAATTCAACATTGGCAACATATTGTGGGTGATCGCTGTCCTGACTGTACAAACTAGACCAACAGACCGACTGTCATAATGTTCACTGGTTTACAAAGCTGACTTTGACTGAATAACTGAGACTGGTACATTGACTGGTACAATTTTTAAGCTGCAATAAAATAAAAATAATAAAATAAAAGCCTAATGAATACAAAGTTCAAACCAAGTTAAATTAATCTACAAAAGAAATAATAAATAAATGTGTAAATAGCATGTAAATACCATAGTGTTACACCATAATGCAGACAGCATTGCTAACATAGCATAGATATTATTGAGCGATTTTCCGAAGTTTAAGCAGTTACGGCAAGCGAAATCTTTCGCCAATAAAACATACCAAATTAACTGTTTTACAACATGTTAACTGCAGAAAAGTATATTTTGGCTAAAAATAAAGTATTCTCATTCATTCTCATTCATTCATACTCACAACATTTTGGTGCCTGAAATCCCCCCGAAGGGTCAAAGTTTGTCTATAACCGCAGCTATCAACTTCCAAACAAAAACATGGTTTCCAAAATAGTGAAAATAAATCCAAAATGGCACAAACTAGAACCGAGAAATGGAACCCAAACCCGGTAATTCAAACAGGGTAACACGGCATTAAAATACAGAACTGCATAGAGAGAGGCGAGAAACCACACACCAACTCACAAGGAAAACCATCACCCCGTTCTATACAGCAACTATACATATAGAGGTGTGAAATCCTAAACCATCCACACAGGGAAGAGAACACCGTTTTGTGGAATAGGACATTCCGTTAGTTTGAAATCAGATTGAGAATAATCTCAAGTTAAAGGTGCGAGATATCCCCACGCTAGCTGACTGTTGCCACATGATTATAATGTAATTTGTCAAATGCCAAAACCAGACCAAGCCACAAGACAACTGGCATCCATGGATATGTCGAAAGGAGTGAATTTGATATTAAGGTTGAACAGTATGTCTATCCTGTCACACTGTCGTGAAAGGAATGGCCAATACTTGTGGAAGACAAAGAACGTCCTCAGTGAAGCCGCGGAAACAGTCTGGTCCACTGTCTCTGTTGTGAGACATGGCTCTATTTGTAGTGAGACATGACTCTGTTTGTAGTGAGACATGGCTCTGTTTGTAGTGAGACTTGGCTCTGTTTGTAGTGAGACATGGCTCTGTTTGTAGTAAGACAGGACTCTGTTTATAGTGAGACATGGCTCTGTTTGTAGTGAGACTTGGCTCTGTTTATAGTGAGATAGGGCTCTGTTTGTAGTGAGACATGGCTCTGTTTGTAGTGAGACATGGCTCTGTTTGTTGTGAGACATGGCTCTTTTTGCAGTGAGACGGGGCTCTGTTTGTAGTGAGACAGGGCTCATTTTGTTGTGAGACATGTGGGAATTGAACCGTTACTCTTTTAGTAATGAGACATGGCTTTGTTTGTGGTGAAACATTGGTGCGTCCTCCGTCATGTTATAAATGTAATATTTATATCCGAAGATATAGATTTTATTTGTTGCTCCAATGATATGTTCTCATACACTGTGACTGGCCTATAATAGCTTGTTGTAGTAGGACATATCATAGTTTATCAGTTGTTCAGCATCAACTGCCTGCTCTATTTAAGCTGATGGACGATATACAGTTTAACGTCGTATTGGCAATATCCAAAATTTGTATTGACAGACTGTTACATCAGTGTTTATACCATCACACTGAAATCACTCATCACGATGTCATTACAATGATACGTACTCTTGTTTGACTCATCTGTCTTTATGTGTAAATTGGCAGCTTGGTGAAAGACTGAAAACTGCATACAGATATCAGTTCGCTGTATCCGTTAGTTCGCTGTAGAGAGTTCGTTATATACGTAAATTTTATATGATATTATATAGGAGATAAATCGGGGATTTTTTAACAGTTCGTTGCATCCGCTTGTTCGCTATATCCGTGTTCGTTATATCCGTGTTCTAGTTTCGTGAGCTTGTCCAGGGGCAGTACGGAGTTCATGAATAGAGAATATTTCATGATAATCTTCCCCGTTATTTGAATAAAAATTAATATGTTTCTTTTTTTTCCCTGTTTTTGATATTTTGGAATTGTGGTACAAAGGCGAGGAAGAGTGTTTAACCAACGTTTCACCAAGTTTATTTGCAATACCCAATTTATCAGTTAATAGTTCGTCCCCACCCTTAAGATGATGGATGCTAGATTAAGAACCCTTACCTTAGGTTTCTGTATCATGTTCCATACCTTGGATATGGGTGTTAGTGAATTTATTTTTGAAACAATTTTGCCAAGATTGGCGTTTATTCTGTTCAAACGTACGCCTGGCTATAGCAATTAAATTTATTGTTCATATTGTGGACCATGGGATGGCGACGGCAATAGTGCTTAGCCTTCTTCCTTGCTTTCCTAGCTTGTTTGCAGTCTTTGTAAAACCAAGGTTTACGAATGAGGGCATTAGTAATGGGACTTAGGAATACATTCATCAGCTATTTTCTTTAATTCACCAGAACATAATTGTTCAGGATCAGTAAAGTCAATAAACAGATCCGGCTTTCATTTATTGGATGCAAGTATTTCAAACAATGGGCAGTTGGCCTTAGTATAGATCCATCCTGTTGAAGGAGAAACATCTGAAGGATGTCATCAGTCATCATACACATGTCCTGTGTGAATGTGTGTCATCATATCCATGTCCTGTGTGAATGTGTGTCATCATATCCATGTCCTGTGTGAATGTGTGTCATCATGCCCATGTCCTGTGTGAATGTGTGTCATCATATCCATGTCCTATGTGAATGTGTGTCATCATGTCCATGTCCTGTGTGAATGTGTGCCATCATACCCATGTCCTGTGTGAATGTGTGTCATCATATCCATGTCCTATGTGAATGTGTGTCATCATGCCCATGTCCTGTGTGAATGTGTGTCATCATATCCATGTCCTATGTGAATGTGTGTCATCATGCCCATGTCCTGTGTGAATGTGTGTCATCATATGCATGTCCTATGTGAATGTGTGTCATCATGTCCATGTCCTGTGTGAATGTGTGCCATCATACTAATGTCCTGTGAGAATGTGTGTCATCATACCCATGTCCTATGTGATTGTGTGTCATCATATCCATGTCCTGTGTGAAATCATGTCCATGTCCTATGTGAATGTGTGTCATCATACCCATGTCCTATGTGAATGTGTGTCGCCATATCCATGTCCTATGTGAATGTGTGTCAACAAACCCATGTCCTATGTGAATGTGTGTCGCCATATCCATGTCCTATGTGAATGTGTGTCAACAAACCCATGTCCTATGTGAATGTGTGTCATCATACCCATGTCCTGTGTGAATGTGTGTCATCAGTCATCATACCCATGTCCTGTGTGAATGTGTAGTTGTCTGCTTCCGTGGAACATAGGTGTCGTGTGGTAGCAAGTCGTGTAGTAACACCCACTGCAGTCTCCCTTACCGTCCAGACATGTCTGAAGGTTGCTGTCACCTTGGATGACGAAGAGGGTCGTGAATGGTGAATAGGAGGTGGTGCTGTTGACCTGTAGTGTAGACCCGGGGAGGAGATAGAATCCCCAGTATTCGAAATGTTTGTTCTCTGTGACATAGCTTGTATTAAGATCCTCAGTTCTCGGGTTCCTCGTCAAAGATGTAGGCTTCAAAAGGATCGCTGGAGTTGAGAGTGAGGCTCTGACAGAAGGCGTTGTTGACGCCGTGCTCTACTTTGCGCATGTCCGTTGGCGCGGCCTGGAACTTGTTGGTGCCGAAGACTCTGAGACTGATGAGAAGTCCGGCGGTGAGGACGGCAGTGGCTACATACAGCCAGAGGAGGGCGATCCGGAGGTAGCGGAACATCTGCCTGATGCAGAGGAGGATACTGGCGATGTTGATGCCGAGGATGACGAAGAAGCAGCAACATTCCCCACACTCTCCTCCTCCCTCTCCTCCTTCTGAAGCGTGGTGTGTGGTGTGGTGGTGGTGCATGTGGAACCCCCCTTCACTGAACCCCCCACCCCCGCCGCTGAACCCCCCACCCCCGCTGCCACTGGGGAAACCGCCGGCACCGTGAGTCATCCTGGAAAAAGGAGTGTAAACCTCACGACATGTCAGTCAGTGAACTGCATACAATGTTTTGTCTATTGCAGTGTAGATTCGGGGTTCTCACGTCAAGACAAAGTGAGTGAGCAAACTGAGTTTACTCCGCTTCCAGCCTCGATTGGAAGGAAGGCACGCGGTTGAAACACATGAGCACGGGTTTGGGGTTGACAAACCAAGGATCATCATACGGTCGATCGAGAAGTCGAACCCGTTATCAAGGCTAGGAACTTGCAATAGTGACATGAGAGGCAGGTAATCTGCTAGTACCCGTTGCTCGTGGATTGTCTTCTACGTTTTAACTTAGTTGGGGTCAAGAGATAATACTGTTTGTAAGGAAGGGGCTTTGTTGATGACCTCTTGTCTTGTTAGTGTTTAATGTTGTAGGTCAGTGAAACTCGTTTGAATCACTGTGATCCCTATACACAATACACGTAAGACAACGTAAACCATGCATCCTTTATCCAATATTTTTATCCTTTTTTTTAACATACATTATCAACTCCTGAAACACTAACCAGAATCATTTTCAGAAACACCATTGAATATTTTTGATGAAATTTTGACCTCAGCTATCGGTTCCACCTACTTGGTTTGTCAGTCTAGATTTGAAGAGGTCATAATGCGGTGATGTGGTGTTGGCCATAGCAGATATACTCATGAATATTTATTGAAGGGTGAGGATCTTCCATTATGTATCCCTTGTGATGAGAGAATCACGGTCAAGCATGTCCTGCTTGACTGTGTTGATTTTGCCTTCACAAGGGATAAATAGAGGTTATCACGCGAGTGTGTTTGGGGATGGTAAATATCCCGCATTAGGAATAAACATTGTATTTAGCGAGCCTTGGCGAGCTAAATACGTAGTGTTTATTCCTAATTAGTATAAAACAGGATATTTACCATCCCCAAACACATAAGCGTGATAAACTCTTTATCATATAATGTCATTCTTTAATTCTGTGCTTTAAAATCGCTTTCCCTCTCTCACAAACATTACCGAAACATTGCGAGTTTTCCTGGAATGCGCGCATTAATATTTATTACGTCACAGGGTAAGTGATGTGTCAGCAATGACAGTAGCCAATATAGTTCCAACTGAAATCTCTTTTTTTTTAAACAGTGGCGAAGCAACATATACGCAAAACAACAATTGCTTTTAATTGCCTTTCGCGGCAATCCATGGGTCTATCCGCTAGAGTGAGTGAGTGAGTTGGGTTTAACGCCGCTTTTAACAGTATTCCAGTTATATCGCGGCGTGTCAGCTTAATGTGGGAGGAAAGCCCGAAGTGATGCAGGTCCCAGACGTTTACCACTTCGGTGAAACCCACGAGCACGGGTATGGTGCTGACAAACCTAGAAACATAATCGGGGCGAACCGGGATTCGAACCCACAATCATAGGTTTCTGGCGTGCCCAAGGGACGCAACTCTGCACAGCGAATCGCGGCGCCTTAGACGACTGGGCCACCCGTGCCCCCCTATCCGCTAGAGTAACTGCCCTTTGCCAAAGGGAAGCTTCTCTAACCCTAGTCTATGAGACGTCACGGCCACGGTCAGGCGTTGTTGACAGTCGGTCTGTCCTGTTATAACGTTAAGAAGTGTAGGCAGATGTACACACAGCGACAAAACGAAACAAGTTAACAATTCAAACATATTTCGGCAAAATCCAACCATGTTCATTTGTGGAGAAGGTTTCAAGCCGCAGAGGTCTACAAGCACAGATATGGCTACTGATCCCGCTTGGCTAGGCCTCGTGTCCTCGCAAAATTGTTTCGAAATTCTTATCTCCAAAGTTGCCAAAACTTATTAAATACCTTCGCTACGTCACAGTTAGACACTGATTTTCAGTATATTAGACTGTTCTTTTGATAATGATAGCAATTATCCCTGTAGTTATCCAGATTCCCAATGGTTAATTCTGACTCGATCGCCGAATGACGAGGGCGACGCAATGTTTGTTTATAAAAAGTGAAAGTAGTCCTACTTGACCTTTGATATTTGCATCTCTATCCGCATATGACCCCAACGGATATCATTTTTATCCGTTGGCTTTATCCTGCCGAGAAACCTACCCATTATATGATAAATATTTTAATTCGTCATCTGTCAAAGATATTTTTAATAGTATTAGTACTAATTTAATTATGATTTTTAAAGGATATGGAAATGTTTAAATAATGTTGATTTATATGTTTTAGAGCATAAATAAATGTTGTTTTAAATTTGGTAAATTAAATTTGCTACTGAGATTGTTAGTGACTGTATTCTTGAAGGGGGTTAAAGTACTGTAACATTATTGTCCCTCTCAGAGGATACGGAAGTTCCACATCATTCAAAGTCAATTTAGTCCAACCGCGATTTTAGCTGTAGTGTATTTGTTAAATTTAACTAATGGCTAAACTTGTATACAAGGGACGGTGTAAATAAGGTACTATAAGTCCCCATGGTCCCTAGTAAAGGGATACACCTTCAGTTTTGGCGATCTATAGCCCGTTTTATTATTTATTATTATGTTTAGTAATATATTTTATGGCAACACACTAGTTTTAAATATGTATCTGTGATAAGTGTAGTTGTTTTGCTGTCCTTTGTTGACTGATGTTTTCTTAACGTATACATTGCTTTAGTCACGATATGGGTGAAATAATGCCGATGTGACTATAAATCGTAACTCACTCACGGAAGTGACCTTAACGAACTATTATCTCTTTAGCGAATTGAGCATGCAACAGTGCGTTCTACTAGTGACATCATTTGTTTGTTCGCCGTGTTTTCGGTACCATAAGCCACTAGAGTATCTGTTGTTAATAATTCATAAGTATGCCTAACAAACCGACGTTATTTCAAAGCACAGTTTCCAAAGATAGTTCTGAAGACGTATGTGATATGATTATTACCAGGATTGTAAAGATTGGATAGTATGAGGTCAAAACCCTCATCACTCCATTCATTCGCAGGAACAAGATAGGCATCATCAAAACTCCTATATCAAAAGTTCCAATTGATACCGAATTTGTGAGCTCCACTTTATTGGTGGACAAGCAGAAAGTACAGACGCATATCCTTACGCAGTGAAGTGGCTTTCAATCTAGCTGTTTCAGGGCGGGTTTATTATGATTCAATATTTTCTGACTGACAAATCAGATTGGAGTAATCTCCAAATTCATGGTGGAATCATGATTTTGATCCACAAATCATAAAAACACCGTTTTGTAACGGATGCCGTACAGCTACATTTTAAAAGGGATATCAGATATATTTGCCCGTGGTTAATTCACATTCACATTTATGAGTTGCATGTGATCAATCTTGTATGGGTGTTCAGTGAGTGAGTGAGTGGTGTGTTCACGCCAGTTTTAGCAATATTCCAACAGTATAAATCGGTGGGGGACACTCGACACACATTGTACCCATGTGGACAATCGAACCCGGGCCTTCGGTGGGACAAGCGAACGCTGTTATAACTGGATTACTTCAGCGCCGCTGTTTCAGATGAATTTATAGAAGAATGTGTATCATGTCTTCATAGAATCTAGTGAATATTGAACTCGGATTATTCTAAATGACGTTAGAATAAACTTTATATCGTCCTTTATAACATACGTTTTGATCTGTTTAATGGCCACCTCTTTTATCATGTGTGCATGCTCTGGGCGAGGTTGCCAGTAGGAGATGCTCCTTTGGGAAGTATTTTATTTAACATCTTTAATAAATTATTCCTTTCCATGGTTACAAGCAATCTACACTGAAACATCGATACGTATAGACATACGAAAAGGCTGATGTGACTTAATTTGATTCGCAGTTCCACTGGATCCAGTTCTATAAAACCTTCATAAGCTGTCGGGTTCATTAAACCCTAATGGTTAATTAAAGTAATATTTCATGCGGTATTGTTTGTTTGTTGATTAACGCCGCACTCAGCAATATTCCAGGTACACGACGGCGGTCTGTAAATCATCGAGTCTGGACCAGACAATCCAGTGATTGACATCATGAGCATCGATCTACGCGATTGGGATACGATGACATGCATCGACCAAAGTCAGTGAACCTGACCACCCGATCCCGTTAGTCGCCTCTTACGGCAAGCATAGTCGCTGGGAGCCGTGCCAATTTACGCTTGTCAGTGGGGTACTCAAAGCACGCGATCTAGACTAAGAGTTGTCGGACTTTAAACAAGACAAGATTGCTTTATGTTTTGTTACTTGCCCGTGAAGAGATCACCAGTTTAAATAAACACACATTGTGTAATACCACGACGCGTGCTTATGTACTGTCGGATCAAGTTTCACGAACTAATATTGAAAGCTCTCAACATCCCATGGCTTCGCTTATTCAAAGACATTGCGTGTGGAGATGTTAGATCACTGAGAGGAGCTTATGCCCACTCGTTGACCGCAGCAACCTTATTGCTAGACTGACGTCATATGGCATTGTTTCGCCGATGGAGCTTGCAACAAAATTCCACAAATTACGTCATCGAGTTTTGTTACATAAAAGTAGGTATGTTCTCTGATCTGATTAGTTAAAAAGTGTTGTCGAATGGGCATAACATCACTAAATTCTTTGGTTTCATCACCGTGTATGTATACATTAATTAATGGAACTATTTATGAAATCATCAACATGGAGGAACAGAAGAAAATTTCCCTGACTTCCGCATCGGAGATTTCGATGAAATATTGAGCGAATGGGATGACGAGACATTTTCTGAGATAAATCAAGACATTGAATGTAAATGAAATTTACTTTTTTCCATTAATTACACAATCATAATCATAACTGATGTAATTTTCGTGGGCTTGGCCAAAGGAAAAAAATAAATCAGTTTCT